AATATATGCCTCTACAGCTATGGTCATATAAATAGCACAAGACAATGCAATTATTTTGCTTTAAACCTTTATTCAGTTTTTATCTGTGGTTGCGATACGTTGACAGTTAATGCTTGCTGCACAGACTTATGTTAAGATTTCCCAATTGAGTAAAACCGAAAAACTCCACACCAGAGGAGTAAGCATGAAGGTGTAAAAATATTCTTGTGGGGTTCAGCTTCGTCCAATTTATGCTAATCAATAAGTATATCTATAATATATATCTTGTGCACGATATTGATATATACATAAATATATGTGTGTATAAAAAGATATATTTCAAGATCAGCTCGGATTGGAAATCTATGTACGAACTATAAACTTCCAATAACAATACAAAATTTCAGATTGTGGAGCTGCAAACTCTAGTCCGAAGGAAAATTGTCAAAATGAAAAACAACAGTTACCCAAAATTCTAAATAGAAATTAAGGTATTAAATCATCCATATTATCCGGAAACTCCTTATTCATTTTGACTACTTTCTTGTTTAAAAAAATAATTTACATTTTTGTATTCCTGGATAAATTGATAAAACCTTACTCAATATTTTAATTTATAGTTGTATCTAGACACATATATGTATGTGTGTATCTATATATGGTACTATATGGTATATGGCTGGCTTATCAATAGAATTTGCATGCAACAACAAATAAAGCGGCACATGTTGTTGCCCTGCCCTGATTATCGATGTGTCTAGTCAACTCTGGTTTGGTCCGGTTTGCTGTGCTCTTAAAACCAATTACTTAGCACCGAGCTATCAAATATCCTTTGTATTTAGAGCGAACCAGCAGCTCTTAAAGCTGTCCATAAGTTGCTTTTGTGCTTTGAGCTGCCCTGAATTGGCATCCATTCTGTTTGTGTTTCGACGATTACTCCTCTAGTTAGGTTTGCTATTAGCATAACCCAGCTAAAGCCGCTTTCAAGCCATCTTAACAATAAAAATCGGACTGCTTAACATATCAGTAAGCATATTATACCACATGTTTATGACTCCAAACCGCGCCCACTTTCGTTACCATGTTGGAGAAGGCTCTATTCCAATTTTTGCAATGTTTAAGGCTTTTAGCAATTGCAAATGAGTATAGAATGGTAAAATGATTTGATGCAAATGTATGTAAAAAGAAGAAAAAAGTTTCTTCAATCTCACAAATAAATATATTCTTGATTTAGAGATGTGCGGAGCGAGTTGAATTTGTTTTTTGCGATAGATCTCCCATGAGATTATAAGAGATAAGAGATAGAGACACATATGTAGGATCTCGTTTAGTATAGCTTCAACAATATTGAGAACACACATTTTAACAGGTATACGCAGTGGATGCCACAAAAAGATCGGATCTGTATAGAGTAAATCTCCTGGTTGTCGAGCACTTTCATCAAGAGTTCTTTCACTTGTCGTACTACGTTTTTTCTCTGGGGTTAAGGCAGCTTGGCGGACAACAAAGCCGTGTGATCCCAATGATCATGGTTCGACTAAAACATACAGCTTAATGCGTTACTAAAACCAGCTGCACACTATATATATAGTCGTGTCTGCTCTGGTCTGTGCAGTATTGTAAAAATAGCTCAGTGCAGCGACCGAGTCTGACACGCACAGCCCCGAAGCGCCATCTGCTGAGTAAACTGGGTTCTAGACAGCGAGAGCATTAAACAATGAAAGTAAGAGGTACTAATATTGCAATAAACCAAAGCGAAAAAATAAAACAAAATAAAATTACAGCGAAGAGCGCATAAGGGAAGCAAGTAAAAAAAGCCAACTGGCAAGAAATATTTGCATTTCATTTGTGAAACAACAAATGAAAGCACACGAGGACGCCCCAAGAGATTTTAGTCGTATTAATGGTCCGGGGTCTTTAAGTATTTGCCAAAGACTCGACAACAACAAAAGACAAAAGAACGGTGGAAGAAGAAGCAAACGAGCGATTAGCTACGTACGGGGAATGAATGAAATTGGGTAATGGAAATTAACAAGGTGAGGGCGGGCAGGGATGGGCATGGACTGTAGAATGTAAACTTCCGTTATCGTACATTTTATTCGTATCGCCTAATGACCTAATAGAGACAATAAATAATAAACAATAAGAACAAGAGCTGTCAATATCAATAATTGCAGTTGGGGGTGTCGGGTATTTAAAAGCAATTACCCATTGACAGGGCGATCGGTGCAGACCCATTTGGACCTCACCCTGCCACACCTGCGCACCTGCTGACCAGCTAATTGGACTTTCTGCCAGGGGAACCGTCCAGATAATAACACGCACCAGAAAAAACTTGTTGTCAAACCAGAAACAACTGTTTATTAGCTGCAACTAGAAACAGATGAACTGTTTTTGACAAGAACACGAGAAGCAATACGGTCGGAATGTAGACCTGCGGCAGATGTGTACGATTTAATATTTAAATCAAATCAATCAAAAGAAAAAACGCTAAAGTAGGGAGAAGGTGTGCTTGAGGAAGATTTCCAACGTAACCAATAAGTTTCTTATTTATATAAATTGTCCGAGCCAAACGACTGTACCAGATAGTTAATACTGATTCACCATGTCTATACATATATATATATGTATATGTATATATATATATATATATATATATATATGCAACTTACTTACGTATGCATTCAGTTAGCACTTATATAAGCCATATATTAGCTTATGTGTGCGACTTTTCTCAAGAATCAATATGAACGGGCAATGGGTGAAAGAACAACCCCAGCAGTGCACAACCCTTGTCTGATTTCGATTCTATTTATACTCGGCACCTACTCTACTCGTGTGTACATGAACATATATAACGAGTAGTGTGCCCTACACACGGCGATTTAAAAGCTGACGAGCCGTAGAATTATCGACATGCAAGTTCAAGTCCAGCAGAAACAACAAGCCATGAGTTTAACCTTACCACAGGAGCAACAACAACGATTCAACTCATTTGCCATGTAAATTTTAGTAGATTTTATATAAGGTAGACGCGAGTGTATGTGTGTTTGTGTTAGGGGGTCTGTACCCACCGGCGCTCTCTGGGTACACGTGTAGGTACTTTTGTTCAGGGAAAGAAGAGGAAAGTCGTCATTGCCAACATTGTCGTCGTTGCCTACGTTAATTGATGTTTAATAAATAAAAAGCGATATGAGGTTGACGTCTGTAAGAGAGGGATACAATTGTGTTAGTTCTTGTGGTTGGGTTAATGGCTCGCGTTGTTCCCAGCGTTCAATGTCAAGTCGATACAAAATGCGCACTTGTTGGGACTAACAACAGTTAAGAAAAGAAAATGGAAGAAGGAGAAACATGCGTCGTTACACGAAACATTTGGCAATTAAGTCAAATGTCAAATAGTCAGACGGCCAGGTGGTCAGGTGGTCAGGTGGTCAAGTGGTCAAGTGGTCTGGGAAAAAGCTCGTCAGAAATGATTTGGAGCACCAGCTAACGGAGAAAGTTGGAATTTAACCAGTTTCTAACTGTTATAAGTATGATCCAAACAAAAATTTGCTTTGACCTTTAATAGTTGAGCGAGAAAGGCGAGCGATACGAAGCTCAATTAGTGAACTAAAGTTATTGTTTTAATTAATATAAGGTTGAATCTATTGTAAGCAGTTAACAAAGAAAGGTTTTCTTAGATTTAAACTGAATATAGACTGGAAAACCGAAGGCTGTATGTATTTTAAATGTCATTCGAGTGTATTTGCTTGGCCTGTCCCATAGAATATTTTCGTAATATACTAGATGTATTTGTTTTTAAGGTTATGTCAATATTACATAGGCGCACGTTCTCCATATTGATGGTCAGGCTGTTCCATTTTATTCCACTTCGTTTCGTAACGATGTTTCGTACACTCCTCTAATTTGCGCTAATACGCCATTGACCAATTCAAGTCTAAGGGGTTTTGCCCACTTGCTGTGTACACTGTTCGCGGTCCTTTGTCCTGTGTCCTTTGTCAACAGTTTTTGCGTGCTTAGCCCTAGTTCATTGGAAATGGACACAATCCAAGAACAACAACAAGTAGCCTCCGTCACGAAGGCAACTCGAAAATTTTCCACTGTTTGCAGTTGAGCAACAACGAGCAACTAAAAATTTCCTTATGGCAATACCTTTTGTTATTTCTACCGTTGTTGCTTTTGTTCTGTTTACAATCGAGCGCGTTTTTACTATATGTACATATTTAATAAGTTCAACCCCAAACCCCATCGCCCCTCAAGCCTAATCGCTTAGTTCCCACCCGTGTTTACTGTCCGCTGTTCCATTTCCTATGTTTTTCGCTTGTTTTGATTCTGCTTGGGAGACCGCCCGCAGCTTAGCTCGCCCATTCGCCGCCTATACGCCCATTCGCCACTCTGTTTGATTTAACACCTCCGCTTTACACTACTGATAAATTCCGTTCGCTGCAATTGCAAATTATCACAGTTAGACGCAAGCCGAGCCAAAAGCGAAGCAGCAGACGGCCAAATCTCTCAGAATTCTCAGTTCTTCATACTCTGATTAGCTCAGGATTTGGGGTCGGGGCGTGATAAGATTAGAAGCAGAACTGTTTATGTGTGCTTATGAGTGTGTGTGTCTGAATTTCCCACTGCCATGCCCCATTTGAAGGCTGCAGTAAAAGAAAGAAGCCTGCCAAGCAAGTAGCAAGTAATATGCATAGTGTTTCATTCCGAATTCCACTTAAACGACGCACGCCGCTGCCCGCTCGCATTACTTAATGACTTTCGCTTTTGCTCTGTGTGCTGTGCTTTTGTGCTTTGTACGCTCGCTCGCTCGCTCTTGATGTTGTGCTGCTCTCTTGTCTGTTTCATTGCCGCTCGTTGCGTTGACGTGTGTGTGTTGTGTGCGCGTGTGTATCTGTGTGTGTTTTATTTTTATGTGCGTCAGGCGGCGCCAGCAGCGACGTTTCTGCTGTCGTCGCTGTTGATAATTTGGAAATTCAATTTCAGTTTCTGTTTCAGTTTCAGTTCAATCGCGACCTCAAGAGCGCCCGCACATGTGTGTGAGATACGATTCTCTCTTCACATTTGCAATAACAATAAGAAAAACAACTACAGAAAATTTACCAACTGCGCTGAGCTGAGCAAACGCAGTTTTATTTTTTTGAAATCCCTTTGGAAAACAGTTTAATTTTCTTCACGTGCGTATGTGTGTGTGTTTTTGATGTGTTTTGTTTTTATTGCGTGACGCAGGCGAACGAAAGTCGTCTTAAAGAAAATATTTCTTGTATTTTTATTTTTCTCAAGTTTTTTATTTTGTTTTTATTTTTATGTATGCTTATTCGCGTGTTGCCAAAAATAGCAGCAAACTAAAATGAAAAGTACACGAAAATAAATGGGAAATGAAAAAATATATATATTTTTATTTTTTTTATTTTTTGTTTGTTTATATAAAGCAACAGCAGTAAAAACAAAACAACAATAAAAATACAAAATAAGAAATTTTTATATTTCTAATGCATTTTATTGAGCAGGCAATGTGACATTGATGCAACAAAGTTGACAGAGCAGAGAAGAAAGTGATTGAAAGTGAAAGAACATAAGCAAAACAAAGCATATATAAATATATATATATATATAAACATACACAAATAGTGAGAAAGACTTCGTGGTTAATTAAGATAAACAAAGGCAAAAGAATCAGCAAATATAACTGCAGACATTGAAAACCTGATGGCAACAACAGCATCAAAAGCCGCAGCAGCAGCGCCGCCCGCCAATGCGGTTCCCGTCATCAGCAGCAGCAGCGACAACAACAACAGCAGCAGCAGCAGCAGCAATAGCAGCAACAACAACAACAACAACAACAACAACAACAACAACAACAACAACAACAACAACAAAAACAACAGCAACAACATCATAAGCGCACCGATCAAAATTCCACTGAGCGAACGCTTCTTAACGCAAACATCCACTGGGTCAGCGGACAGCGGTGTCATCGTGACGAGCGCCTCACAGAAGCAGCTCTGCAGCGGTTCGCAGGCAACGCTGCTACAGCTGCAACAGCTGCCGGTGCGCAGCAGCAGCGGCTCACTCAGCCTGCACGGCCCGCTGCCCAAATGGCAACGCCAGCAACAGCAGCAGCGCCAACTGCTGCAGCAGCAGCAACAGCAGCAGCAGCTGCTGCTCAGCCAGGACAGCGGCATCGAGCAGCGCGTCGGTGAGCGCGCCTCCAGCGGCGCGGGTGGCGCGCAATCGAACAGCAGCAGCGAATCGCTGGGCAGCAGCAGCGGCAATGAACAGTTACAGGTGGCAGCTGCCGGCAGAGGTGGCCGCACACGCGCTGCCTCAGCACTCGAATTGAGCAGCGTTGGCGTCAGCGTTGGTGCTGGCAGCGTCCTGCGTCGCATCAAATACAAGAGCACCAACAGCACTGGAACGCAGGTCTTTGATGTGGAGGATCGCATCGAGGAGGTAGACATTGGTGATGATCGTGACGATGAGGACGATCTGGAGGAGGAGGAGGATGAGGATGATGGCGTTGCTGTCGATGTAGATGTAGACGAAGATGATACACAGTCGGGCATCATTATTAACATTGGCACCCACGAGCACGAGCAAACATTGAAGGCAGTGCCTGCGGCTCCACTGAAGCAAGAGGAGGAGCTGCCTTTAGAGTTGGCGCCATTAACAGTTGCTGCTGCGGCGGCCAAAAGACGTGATGCACGCAGTTTGGGCACAGATGGCCGTATTTTTTTTCCGCTTCTAAAGATCAACGAGGATCCGCATATTGATGCCAAGCTGATCAATCGCAAGGATGGCCTGCAGGACACTATGTACTATCTGGACGAGTTTGGTAGTCCAAAGCTGCGCGAAAAGTTTGCACGCAAACAGAAACAACGCAAGGCCAAACAGCAAAAGGCGCTGCTCAAACGGGAGCGCGAAGAGCAGCGCAAGAAGCGCAACACAACGGTGGCCTCAAATCTGGCGGCCAGCGGCCTTGAGACCAAAGACCAACCCAACCCCTGTGATAGAAATCGTTTAACGATTAACAAACAGATATCGCAACCGCATCCAGATGCCGTTGCCGATGATGATCCCGCTGCTGATCTGGTAAAGATGCGCGTCCGCAGTCATAGTCATGATAATCACTACGATTCTATCGCCGATATAAAACCTGTCCCAATCCGCCGTCACTCCGATGATCGCAATGCCGCAGCAGATGATGCTGGCTACGTTTATGATGACGATGATGATATTGAGACAGGCGCCGAAGCGGAGGCTGCACTGCATGATGGCAACGACAGTCTCGAGAGTGTAAAGACTGCAAAACTGGCTAGAACACAATCCTGCGTTAGTTGGACCAAAGTGGTGCAAAAGTTTAAGCATATACTAGGTAATTAATAATCATCAAAAAATAATCATGCTTGTCGTTTGTTTCAACTGTCGCATCAATTTGTGATCACGATTCACTTCAATGTATATTCCAAGAGTTTGCTTCGTTTCAAATGCCCCACACTTTTAATTATTGATTTTGTCTACGAATTGATCTAACTTGTTATGCTAATTCTTCCTTCCCTCTCTCTCTCTCTCTCTATCTTTCTCTTTTCAGGTAAGTGTTGATGATTCGAATAACATGTGTACCTAACCTAACTTATAAAGCTGTCGGGTAAGCTGCACACACACACACACACACACACACACACACACACACACACACACACACACACACACACACACACACACACACACACACACACACACACACACAAGCGCGTACGTGTCTTAAAGGAAGTTAATTCATTGATTGGTCCAATGATCATATTGATCATGATGTGTGTTAATTCTCTTGAAAATGTTTTTTAACGTATAAACAAGTGGCATTGGATTGTCTTATAGGGTGTGCTTTTGCCCAGCGATCTTTGCTCTGCCCATTATCTGGAGCTGCTTAATATAACTTCTATACGTCCCAAGCCATATATCAGAGATATAGGGAAGATTAAGATTGCTTTTTGCTGCACCCCTTATATTGGTCTTTTGCACTTTGTACTTCATAATATTCGGATAAAATTGAAACGAAAACTTTATAACTCTGTCCAATTCCAGTCGTTTCACTTAACTGGGAAATCGTCGCTGTGCCTTGTTTTTTACTGGTCTTTTTTGTCGGTCGACTGATAAGTGGCAGCGCCTTAGCGAGAGCCACGCCCTGTTCTGTGAACAGACCACACTGTGTTGCTATCATTAGTCTTTGTTGTCAGCCTGCCTTATTGATAAGACGGCAACAACAACGTTGATTTACGCCGGCTGATGATTTCTGTTCTTTTTGAAAAGTCATCGCTTTTAAAAAGAATAAATTCTACGTTTTACTGTTGTTTAACAATCTGTAATATATAGAGTACACAATTAAAATTCCATAATTATTACAGCTGCCCCATAAAGTTGCACATTATATGGCATGGACAGTCGCTGTCTGTATCCTAATAGAATAAGCGATGTGCTGTAATGTGGAATGAAATGGATTATTGTCGGGTAGAGTATACGGCAAATATGGGATAGACTGAACGGGAAAGGGTTTTTAAATGTGCGGGTTGGGCATGAGTGCAGCCCTGAGTTAGTATTTAGTTATAAATAGAGAGATTAGTGTACAATTTATAACAATAGAACTATACTTTTAACAGAGTTATATTTCGGATAGGTAAGAAGTCAAAATTAATTCACATATGCATCAATAAGCAACCTGCCTGAAATTGAGATAAAGTAGGATAGAATAGATCGATAGATTTTAAAGTTATATACTATACGTAAGTAGATTATAAATGCCATGGTGTATCTAAGATTAGCCCCCAATGAAGTTCAAACCTTACAGAGAAAGACTTATTTATAAAAGAAATGAAAACTGATAATAATTGTATTTATTAACTAAATTATAAGTATAGGAGACGTCTTAGATTATATTAGGTATTGTATAATGCACAAGGTATAGTTAGGTAGGTGATAGCATCTGGCAGCAGGTATTTGTGTGCACATGAATACCCTATAATGACAGTGGAATAGTATACTATAAACGTGTTCCGCTACAGCTACAGCTACTTAATTGTTGCTTCTCTCAGATTTTGAGTGATAACAAGATGACACGACTGCTGCATGTTCAGGTTATCAGCTTAGCAGGGCGTTAAGTCGTGAAAGATGTTGATTATTTTTATATGGCCGCCATATACCTATACGCTTTATAGATGTTTCCTAACTTTTTGTCATCGCATGTTGTCGTGTTAATAATCACGCGCTCTGCTCAAAAACAAAACTTTTTCCAAAAATAATGCAAAGAACACTCTAAGTACATACACACACTACCTACACATACGTATCTACCCTATATAAGAATGTCTACATATACATATATATGGGGAGGCGTGTCTCTGCTGGCGCTTTTCTTGACAGCTGTTGCTGCTTTGCCTTCACCTTCTTCATCTCGCTCCTCCTTCTGCCGCACGCGCCTGGTTTTAAAACATTTGTCAACTTGTTTTTTTTGGCATTTTTATTTTTGATTTGATTTTTAATTTGAACGGGGGGCCTGACAACATCAACAACAATAACAGCGAATACCACGACGACAACAACTGCTGTTGCCGTCTGATAGAGACGGTCGGTAGCGAGAACGGGAACGGGAGCGCGAGCGGGAACCGCGGCTGGAGGCAGAGGGGACAGCTGTTTTTGCGACCCCAAGTAGCATGTGTTCCCTCCTACTTCCGATAATGACTAAACTGCCAGCCTAAACTCATAGAAGATTATGTCTTCTCGACGTGGGCTATGCCCAAGTTTATCTGTAGTTTAAACTTAAACAAATATTTGCCAGCTTCATTGACAAAGACAAGTATTTATAAGCTAAAACTTGGATTGGGTTCTTGATAAATCGATTTCCGTTTTATGATGAAGATCGGTCAACCATATCGAATACCCAACATATAAGTATAAGATTAACAGTTAGTAAGTAGCCGGCGTTGCCCGCTACAAAATATTCTCTGTTCACAATGTGACAAAGAGTATATCTGATGTGTGCAATGTACGTTCGCTTAACCGCAAAACTAGAAATCGATATGCACGTTTAAGTCCGAAATGTTTTTACCAGGCAACCGCAAGAGCAATGGCGATAATCGCTATTTCACAGTTAAGTCGAAGTTTGAATATCACTACCCTATTCAGGAATACTCCCTTCGAATAGTTCAAGCTGTTATTATGCTGGGAATAGAGTATGATATCGACGGTTGCGCCCGACCGCTGCATTCTAACTCGTTTTGCGTACGACTCTTCACGAACAACTCTTTCGAACCACGTTGCTCTGTTTGAGCAGCTGTGCCAAAAACTGAATGAGAGAGTATTCTCGCTGCCTCCTCTCTCTTCGCTGTTTGCAGCTCTGCTTTGTTATCGATTTGCTTTAAAAAAAAATGTCTTCCATTTTCTGCTTTATCATTCCCATTCCCATTCCCATTCGTCTTGGATTTGCCTGCCTCTGTTTATGCAATCGCTTTGGGTCGCCCTCACTTTTGGGGATTCTTCGGCGCGTAATTTATGAAGCGCTCCTAAAAGTATGCAATGCGCCGCTTGCCAGTGCCAGCGAATGAGAACGAAGAGGGAATGACCGTCGTTTGTGGTTGGAAAGGGGGGGGGGGGTAGAGGCAAGCGAGATACGAAACAAGAGCAGCGTGGTTTGAGTGGTGTGGATGGGGGTTGGTTGGGGGCGTGCAAGGGATGCCCGCCAAGTGCCTCTTTGCCTGCGGTCGCGGTGTCTCGTGATCTGACCGCGTGCCGTCACTGCTGCTCACCCCCACCCTCACACACTTACTCACACCCAGATACACCCAGATACGAAACCCTCCCCTCCTATCAAAGTTGCCAAAAAAGTGTCTTTTTTTAACCATTCACATTCAGCTGACAACAGACTGAAGTGATTCCAATATCCGATTAGAGATCGGTTTGCATAAGTATCAAATATATATAATACTAGCGGGTATAATCCGGCCTTGCCCGTGGCACGTATGTTATAAAATCAATGTTCTCAAACAAATTTGAAATGATTTTGAAACTGATCGGACGGTGAACAAATAACTTTCATACAAACGTTTCCCGCCAATTTACCACTGTTTCGAGTGGAATTTCATAAATCGCTGAAACACGTATTCATTACATTCTTATGTAGAGCTTTAAAAATAAGTTTGAAGCAAATCGGACACAATTTAAAACTTCGCACAAAAAATCTTTGAGTCGCATTCCACCCGAAAAAGTTTGAATTCTGCGAAAAGTGTGAAACACGTCTCAAATGATTTTTCTTATAGATCTTTGGAAACGAATTTGAGCGCGAAACGTCACCTACCAAATCTTTGACCTCCATTTCCACCCAGGAGGATCGGATTTTTATAAAAGTGTGAAACACCCCTCAAATGAATTTGAACAAAGATCTTTGAAAATAAGTTTGAGGCCGATCGGATGGTAAACAAAAAAGTTACATACAAACGTTTTTCGCGATTTTTCCACACTTGCGGGTGGAATTTCCCGAAACCCCGTCTTAACGTGCACCTACATTACATAAGGTAACTACAGTGAAAATTTCAGCTTCCTAGCTCTTACGGTTTGGGCTGTGCATTGATCATTAATCAGTCAGTCAGTCAGTCAGTCAGGACAAACAGTTTTATATATAGAGATATATATACATATATATATATATATATACAGTTTTATATATAGAGATATATATATATATAATATATATAACAGTTTTATATATATATAATATATATATATATATATATATACATATATATATATATACATATATATACATATATATGGTTTCCTTTGGAACTCGTTTCCACTGCAGTTCGGGGACTTTGAGCTGGCCACTCCATCAGCATCAAATCTTGGTTTTGTAACCATTCGCGGACAATTTTGGCAGTGTGCTTCGTGTCCCCATCTTGTTGAAAAATGATTTCCTTTACGGGGTATGCACACTTGTCCGAAAAATTGGGTAGATAGGTTTGCAAAATATTGAGATAGTCTTCTTTGAACATTATACCATCAATTTTATGCAATGGTCCAATGTGCCACCAAGTAAAGCATCCCCAAACTTTGACATTGCCTCCTCCATGCTTAACGGTTTGCTTCACTTGGTGTTTTTGAAGCTTGTCCCCGGGCCTGTGCCAATAGTATTGCTTGCCATCCGACTGAAAACGGTTGAACTTGGATTCATTCGACCAGATGACACGTTTCCAATCATCTACAGTCCAGTTCTTGTGTTCCAGGGCGAATTTCAATCGAGCCTTGACATTCTTCTCGGATAGAGCTGGTTTATTTTTTTCACACTTGCCACATATCCAACCTTAGCTAGTGCTCTTCTAGCCGTCC